TCAAAGACCTAAATTTAGAAACTAAAACTGTGGAAGTCTTAGAGGAAAACATAGCAGTAAATCTTCCTGACCTTAGGTTTGGCAATGGAGTCCTTAAAATGACAAAAAAATACAAGCAACAAAAGAAAAAATAAATTGAATTTCATAAAAATTGTAAGCTTTTGTGCATCAATGGACTATTTATGAAAGTGAAAAGGCGACCTACAGAGTGGGAGAAAGTATTTGCAAATTATATATTCAGTAAGGGACTTGTATCAAACATATAAGGAACTCTTTAGAATTCAATGACAGACAAACAACCAAATTCAAAAATGGGCAAAGGACTGGCATAGACATTTCTCCAAGCAGATGTATAAATGACCAACAAGCACATGAAGAGTTGTTCAACATCATTTGTCACTAGGAAAATGCAAATCAAACACACAGCAAAATACCACTTCCCTTCCGTGAGGATGGCTACAATTAGAAAGAAAGTTAACAGAAGATAACCGGTGTTGGCAAGGAGGTGGAGAAACCGGAACTCTCCTACATGGCTGGTGGGAAGGTAAAATGGTGCAGCCACTGTGGTAACAGTTTGGTGGTTCCTCGAAAAGTTAAACAATTACCATATGACCCAGCATCCCAGGGATGTACTGGAGAAGACCTGAAAACAGGTACTCAGACATTTGTTATCTGTGCACAGATGTTCATTGCAGCACTATTTGCGACAGCCAAAAGGTGGCAACAACCCACACGTCCGTCAGTGGCTGGTATGGATGAACGAAGTGTGTGTTGACGCAATGGAATATAATTGGTCCACAATGCCCCAGTGCTACAGGCTACATTCTACAATGTGGGTGAACCTCAAAAACATGACGGTAAGTGAAAGAAGCGAGGCACAAAAGGCCACATCGTGTATGTTTCCATTTCTGTGGTATGTCCGCGATAGGTCAGTCGATAGACACGGAAAGCAAATTAGTGGTTGCTAGGGGTTGAGGCAAGTGGGGAATGGGAGTGACTGCTTCATGGGTATGGGGTGTCCTGTTGAGGGGACGAAAATGGTTTGGAACTAGATAGAAGCAAAGACTGCCCAACACTGTGAGTGTACCAAATACCATTGAACTCTATACTTTAAACTAAAAAATGGTTACTTTTACGTTACGTTAATTTTACCTCAACAAAATACAGGGGGAGAAGTGACAACAACCAGGCCCTTGCCCCCGCTCCCAGAGACCTCCGTGGAGCTACCTCTGTGGGAATGATCCCCAGTCCCCGTGAACCCTCAGATTAATCCTGTAGGTGCTAAGTACGTCCTCAGGGTACAGGAAGAACAATGCAGCCTTGTCCTACCATTCACTGGGTCATAGGAAAAAGTCACACATGCCAGGGCAGTTCTTGATTTCCCTGTGTCCCCCTCTTCACCTTCCCCCAGCGCTCTGCTAAGTGGGTCTTGGATGTCATACCGGGACTAGCTACATAATTGGTGGAGGCCAAGGTAAAATGAAATTATTAAAAGATTATTAAGAGTTTCAAGATGGTGATGGCAGAGGATTTAGATAAACCCAGGGCTCTTCTCTTCTGAGTCCTGTGTCCTGTCTGCATGGCACCCTTACCCTGTGATCCCCATCACCATCTCCTCTGCCTGGCTTGGTCATCACTTGATGGTGCACAGACCGAGCCACCTTGCCCCCTCAGCTGTCCCCACAGAGCTGTCTTATGAAGCCAGATCAGCTTCATGTCCTCTCAGCATTTCTTCTTTCACCCTGTCCCTCACGTTGCTTGGGACTCAGTTTGCCTGGGCCCTGAGTGGGCCCTGCAGAAACTGGCTGCCACGAGAGCTTGCTGTCCTGACAGGAGAGCCGTGGCCCTGAATGTCAAGGGACTGGGAGGAGGCATGGCTAGAACGAGGCCCTGTCCTGGTTGGGGGGTAGGGAGAGAGTCATGCCTGACGATCCCTAAGGCCCCCCCAGCCCTGAGGGTCTGTATTTAATCTTGGCTGATGTGTGCTACCATACCCATCTTCACAGACAACTAAACGAACACTCAGAGATGTTTAGTAACTTTAGCAAGATCACACAGCTGGTGACCTGTTTCATTTTGAGTAGAAATGTAACCTAGGACAATTTAAGACATTTAGTTCTCTTACTTTTGGTAATACTGGCTCGTATCTAGTTACCTGCTACGACTCTGTTAAGATCAGGACTTTTTTTTTTTTTTTAACAGCTTTGCTGGCTAGGTTTCAGTTTCGTTTCATTTTCTATCACTTTGGTTTCGGTTCTGTTTCTCAGGATACTCTCTTTCCCTTTCCAGGGGTAGTATTTGATCCTCTTAGAATCATTCCTTTGTGATTCCTTCTGATTAAAATACACGAATTATTCTAAGGCAGATATTCCTAAACGGGATGTTTAAGCAGTTTTAAAACTTAATACCAGGCAAATTCGGTCCAGCATTAAGCAAAAGGCACTTGCTTTATTAGTGTCATAAATTTGCCGAATAGCTGCGACAGTGTATATGTCCCATGGCTGACTTATTTTGTGTGTGGTTCTTGACGTGTCAAAAGATCACCAAGAATCCCTGTCACCCTGATCAGTCAAACGTAAGAAACCATTGCCTCTTTGCAGGGGTGGGGTGTGGGGGTAGAGGACAGACTGAAAACTCCCTGACTGAGCTGGGATACTGACCATCAAGTGGAGGAAGGGAGGTGTGAGTCTCTTTCTTCAAAGCTTATTCTCAACTCAGTGGAAGTGCAAATAGTTCAAGGACTCCACGGGACAGCATGAGCAGAAAGTTTGAGGAAGAGATTCAAACTAGTGACCGAGTGGTTGGGTCACTCTTCAGACTTGACGACACTCAGAGGGCGACAGAAAAGATCCAACTTCTATTTAGACAACCTCATCTTCTTCAGATGCTAAATAACTAAGATATTTGAGTTCTTAAAAAAATGTCTGCTTGAAACTTAAATCTTTGGTGACCCCGTATTTGAAATTATATTGTTTTCCATTCCAAATTGAATGTATGCTCAATTTCGACAATGTGGAAAACAAAACAAAGCAAAAAAGTAGAGAAAAAATTCAAATTGCAATTTTGCCATAAAAAGATAACGCCTTTTAGCATTTTAGTATACTCTCCTCCATTTCTTTTTTCTACTCCTAGTTTTGCATATTGCATTTTTTTGTTTTTGTTTTGTTTTGTTTTGTACAGAGAGAGCATGAGCCGGGATGGGGAGGGGCAGAACGAGAAGAAGAGAGAGAGAATCCCAAGGAGGCTCCAAGCCCAGCACTGAGTCCCACACGGGGTTTGATCTCAGGAACCTGAGATCACGACCTGAGCCAAAATCAAGAGTCAGGTGCTAAGCAGAAGGGCCACCCACACGCCCCTTTGCTTATTGTTTTGACCTTGCTATTTGTAAACGTTTATATCCTGATGTTTTTCGCTCAACATTATGTTAGAGCATTTCCCTGTATTGGTACACATTTTGCCAACTACATTTGTAATGGTTACATAATATTGTCTCATGTGTATATGATATACTTGCCCATTCACTTATCTGGGGATAGTAAGATTGCAGATTAAGCTATTATGCACATGTTTTCGTATAAAGCCTTTTTTTTTTTCTTTTTCTGATTTAGGATTATTTCCTTAGAATTCCTTCCCAGAAATAAGTATATTAAAAGGTACAAACACTTTTAAGATTCTTGATACATATTGTCACATTGTTTTACAACTTGGTTGTAGCAGTTTATGCTCCAAAATAGCCTATTTAATATAAGTATTACTGGTAAAACAAGTTCTTTAAACTTATATGAAGCAAATATTCCATTAAGACAGTTTGCTACACATCTAATTTATATGAAAATATCCTTCATTTTACCTATGCCTCTGAAAGGTTTTTAGCAGTTTACTAATATATTTGAATTTAAAAATCAAGCTTTAATCAGTTTGTTTATTTAACACAGAGTCATGAAAAGAAATGGAACATATGGCTCACGTCCTATAGGATAGACAAGAATTACACATAGAAATAACTGGGGAGAAAAGAGGCCTGGGTGGTAGAGGGTGTGGTAGCTCAGAGGGTGGGGAGGCTCAGGGGGACCAGATGGTTGGAGAAGACAGGTTAGTTCCTTTCCTCTGGGACTGGTAGAATCTGACCCTGAAGCAGGGTGAGACTTACACACACACAGACAGGGTGAGAAGGGCCTTCTCGACTGGGAAAACAGGTTTCACAAAGATGGTTCATCATAAACATTAGAAAAGGAGGAGACAGCAGGCTAAAATTTGCAAGTGATGTAGACTATATTTGTACAGCAAATTCTGATGTTCCACTTCCTGATTTTTATTCAAAGAATCAGACTGCAGAAGCTCATGTAATTTTAGAGCTCTAAGAGATTGTAGCAATCACTCAGCCCAATACCTCCCATATCCTATATTTTGCAAAGGAGGAGATGGACATTAGTGAGGGATTATAAGCTTTATGTCCTAATTTCAGGGACAATGCTCTTTCTCCTGGGCCCTGCACTCTCAGGCACACTATCTGGGAATCTGACACAGGCTGGGATTATTTAATGCTTTATGTGGTGTTATATTTATATGGTTATGCACACACACACACACACACACACACACACACCAGTCTTACAGAAACTGGAAAAATAATGGAGACGAGGGGAGCCAGGTGGGAGTCATTATGTAACTGTGACAAAGTGACAGACTTTTGAATAGTTTCAAAATTTAGTTCCATACCTGTATTGAGATATCTGGGGTGGAATGATTAAATAATATAAATATTGGAACTATTTGTGTCTTGCAAACTTCAGTATCTTTAAAGAAAGTCTACAAATGTAGTCATCATATAAATTAAACTTCCCTACCCCTTACTAAATAGAAGCACCCGACTACATTTTTTTTTTAAGATTTTTATTTATTTATTTACAGACAGAGATCACAAGTAGGCAAAGAGGCAGGCGGGTGGGGCGGGGGAGCAGGCTCCCTGCTGAGCAGAGAGCCCGATATGGGGATCGATCCCAGGACCCTGAGATCATGACCCGAGCCGAAGGCAGAGGCTTTAACCCACTGAGCCACCCGGGCGCCCCCCGACTACATTTTATAAGGAATGTAAGTAATACGATGGAGGATATAGCCCAAGCAACTCACAATTTAACTGAGAAAATAAGATATAAACACATATCTGCAAGTGCGAAATGATTTGATACAACTTTCCTATAACTTCTATTGCCTAATTGATGTCTTACAAAGAGTGAACCTTCAATACATATTTGCTGAAGGAAGGAAGGAAAGAGAAAAAGGCCATTTCCGGATGGGATGGTCATGGAAGAGTTCCTGAAAGAGGAGATGTGAGCTCAGCCCCTGAGGACAGGTGAGATTTAGAGGAATGAGGAGAAGATAAGCAACATTCCAGACAAGGAATAAAGCACAAACTTAGCATGCTTCTTCGTGGCAGGTTAGATAAACATGTTCTCGGATTGCTAAAAATTAACCTTCCACAATAGATAAATGCCATGTAACCAGACATGTGAACATACACATAGCAGAAAATTAACAGCATATCTCTCCAAGAGGTAATTTTGGGGCAAGAGAAAAAATATATATATTATGCTAATAATACATTATGCTATATATTATGCTATAAATGCTAAGAGACAGCATTGAAAAATAAACTATTCGTTCTCCAAAAAGGAAACATGACTAAAACAAAGACCACACCCTAAAAACTTTTCCTCAATTATATTGCTACAAACTAGTACAATCAGGAATGGAAAATATACCATTTCCTGACATGTCAAAGAGATATGAATGATTAGTGATCACGTAGTCACAAGATAGTGGTGGATGCTGGTTCTCTCCTGGTGTAAAAGTTATGTAAGTTCAGTTCTGTGTGATCTCATGGGGGCAAAGGTGTTACAAGTACACACAGATCACTCACTCTGCACATAATACCTTCGACCCAAATAACCCTCTGTACCTTTTATACGGTGAAAGAATTACAGCTATTATTCTAGGCACTAGTCCCTAAAACACAAAGACTTGCTTGTCCTTTCAAGAATTTTAAACTTAAGAAAAGGCATGTGTTATTCACAGATACATAACATATGTAAAGAGTTTTTGTTATAATTTTCTTCCTTCATTAAAAGCATTTGTGCTTTCTAAATGAAAAGGGGCTTTGTGACTATTCAATCTAAACCCTAAAATTTTTTTGCAGATACCCATAGGTATAGGATAGGACGGGAGATGGACTGAGTGTTTACATTGCCTCTTAGAAATGGTAAATGAACCTATGTATTTTGAGGTGAACAAACTTATGTATAAACCTAACACCAGTCAATGAACCTACACCTCACAAGGTTTCTACATTTTGCATAAAGTGGAAACAACATGAACTAAAGTAGACTGGGAAAAGTTAGGGATGTATAGCTCGTCCCTACAGAAACCGCTGGGGCTGGGGGGTGGCTGAAGGCAGGGGTTAAGGGTGCCTGAGTGACTGAGGGAGAAGCGTGCCAAATCCTTTTCCCAAAAAGCACTGATGAAATTGGACAAAACTATCAAAAACGGCCATTGCGGAACTCTGTAATTTGACCCAAGTCCTACAACAAATTGAGAAGAATTTGGTTGTGATCAACTGTTGAACTTCAGTAAGATCAGTGGAAGTCTGTGGCACTCTAGCCTGGGACTGTTCCCTCCACCCCTTTTCCCAGCTCCCAGTGACTTAGCTCTACTCAGGCAGCCTAGATGATGAGATGCGAGAGAGCTGAAATCAGCAACATATAACAAAAATGATACATTACGACCAAGTGGGATTTACCCTAGGCATGCAAGATTGGTTCAATATCTAAATATCATTTAATATAATATACCACGTAATAGAATAACGTACAAAAACCACATGATCACTTCCAAGACCCAGAAAAAGTGTGTGACAAAATCCAATGCCTATAAAGGATAAAAACCCTCAGCATACTAGGAATAGAAAGGAACTTCCATAATCTAATAAAGGGCACTTATGAAAAAGATACAACGAACATCATACTCAATAGTGAAAGACTGCATTTTTCCCCCACTAGATTGAGAATAAGGTAAGGATTTTCACTCTTACCTCTTCAACATTGCACTAGAAATTCTAGCCAGTGCAAATAGAGAATTTAAGAAGGCACACTAGCAGAAAGGAAAACGCAAAACTTGTCTTTATTCACAGTCTTATGATTCTGTACAGAAAATCTTAAAGCATGCATGCACACACACACACACACACATGCACATACACTACTAAAATGAGTAAATCTGCAAAGTGTGGAATACAAGATCAACATACAAAAATGAACTATATTTCTATATACTAGCAATGAACAACCCCCAAATTGGGAAATCTACAGTATAGTCTTAAGATAAAAATGTAGCACCCCCCAAACTAGTTTATAATACATATATACTCTGCACAAATATACACACATACATACATGCATGCTTACACACATTCAATCACAGAAAAATACTGGAAATGGAAGGCAGTGGAATGATGGCTAATTTCAAATTCTTAACATTAATCAAAGTTTTTTATTACTCAGATTTTTAAAAGCGAACACCTGTGGCTTTTATAGTGAGGAAACTAGTGGTAAATGTTGCTTCAAATCCTTTCGCTCCTTGAATTGAAAGTCTTCCACATTCTCTAGATGGTACAGTGGTTGGAAAGGCAGTTTTGGGTGGCCAAGCAGGGTTTGAATCAGGCCTCCGTCACATGCTGGCATGAAACCTTGGAAAATGGCTCACCTTCTCAGTCCCAGTTTATAAAATCATCTATAAAATGGCATTTATCTGAAGAATGTTATGAAGATTAAGAGAAACTATGTCTAAAGTGATTGGTTCGACAGCACGCAGCTCAATACCCAATAACCATTCTTCATCACTGTTGCTGTTCAGAAAGACTTGGGCTTTGCTGCGGCGAAACGATTCTTCTCTCCCGCCATTTCTTTGCTCCGACGGCTTCACGTCGCCGGAGTCGGGACTACACCGGCCACTCCAGAAGACGTGGAGCTGGAGGGAACCAGGGCCACTCTGCGCGATTGGGTCATCGGGCCGCTAGGTGACGTCAGCTCTTCTGGTCCCTCCGTTAAGTTCACGGGCAGGAAGTGTAAGGAGGTGAGTTGTGCTGCAGCCCTTGCCAGAGCCTTCCCAGGTGGGAGCAGAAGCTAGGATGAATCCAGAGAAGGGCTTTCCTCCTGGCCATGGGACCTTGAACGTGGAGACCTTAAGGTCAGAGGCGGAGGCGTGGGAGGAGAAAGGGGGAGGGGCTTGAGAAGGGGGCGGGGGGGGGGGTGCCTGTGAGTCTTCCCTTGGCCCCAGGCAGTCATCTCCTCCGTGTGGCTGACTGCCTGAGGTCGCCAGTTGAAGCCCAAGGCTCCTCGGAGGCTGGAAGTCGGGAAAGGACAACTTAGCCGAAGTCCTTCTATCATCCCACCCCTCCTGACATCAGCAGGCGAAGCCTTCCGGTAGAATTGAAATGGTTCTGCGCGCCCTCCGAATTTCAACAGCAACGGTGACGTTCGCCGCGAGTTTGCCAATCTTACACGAGCACAGTTCAATCTGAAAATCAGTAGATCTGTGTAGATAAAATCTTAAGGTCTGGACTTAGCTTACATTTCTGGGAAATAAAACTATTGTCCCCGTGCCTGGGTGGCTCAGTGGGTTCAGTGTCCGCCTTTGGCTTTGGTCATGACAGGGTCCTGGAATCCAGCCCCACTCCCAGCTTGGCAGGGAGTCTGCTTATCCCTCTCCCTCTGCCCTGCTCTGCTCTCAACCTCTCTATCAAATAAATAAATAAAGATATTATTTATTTATTTATTAAAAAAATTTTTTTGAGGGAGAAAGTGAATTTGGGTGAGTGGATCGGGGCACAGGGGGTGGCAGAGAGAGAATCTTAAGCAAGCTCCACGCCCAGCCCAGAGGTTTAGGGTCTCAGGACCCTAAGATCATGACCTGAGCCAAAATCAGAACCCTGAGGCTTAATCCACTGAGCCACCCAGGTGCCCCTCTCATGCCTTTTTTAATAGCAAAATATTTAAGAATTATGAAGAAAAACCTTTAAAACCTTAAAGTTGTAAATGTTGATTGAATGTTTTAAGTACAAATATTGAATGCAAGAAAAATAAATTCTGACTTGATGTTTAAAAGCAAAATAAATATTTCTTTTAATATTTCAACTATAGTTAGTCTACAGCACCAGTGTTCTGATGTGTAGATGTGCTCTGGGATCAGTGTGGCAAGAGGACTGTTTAATTTAGGTTATGTTTGCTTTACTTGTATCCACATAGTTCCATCAAAATCAGTTGAAAAAGTGAAAAATAAAACACGTATTTTTCTACATCAGAAATTGGTTTTTAATTGAAGTTTTTTTAATGAACTAAAAAAATTCACCACTTATTTATATATATAATACATATGTATTCTAAACGTAAATTTTAAAAAATTAATTAAATCTTATACAGCATCAGTTGTTTACAGGATTTAAGTAATAGTCTTTAGTATTTAGCATTTTCTTCTTCACATAAAAATTTGTAATCTGTCCTCTAAAGCTGCTAAGGAACATTTTTAAAATTTTAGAGTTTAAAGAAATTGTTTCAAATAGTTTTTTTTTTTTTTCCAAGAGAAAATCTTTAAATTGTATTATTTGGACCTAAATGTGTAGAAGTTAAAATTATCTCAGACAAGAATAGGGACTGCTCAAGGTAGTGTATGTAAGCCAGGATCCAAGAAAGTGATCTTGTTTACTCAGAATTGACAAGGTTCAGGGGAGTGACCCCCTCTAACTAAACCTACAAAGAATCAGTAAGCAGAATGTCAGTGTATTTATTTCAGTATGAAATGTCACTTCCTTGGGAGAGGATTACATATCTCCATTCTCTAGGGGTATCCTGTTTCCCAGCATTAAGTCAATAGGAAACTGAATTGCTAATCAAAAGGTTATTAGGTTCCGAATCAGAATCCTAGGGTGAAAACTACATGGTCTTAAAGACTTTCCATGGGAGTGAGGGAAAAGCCCAAAGAGCTCAGTCTTCTCCTGCCAAAGTGTGTCGTTCTGGGGACGGCAAAGTCATATCCATCAGATGCAACAATGGTTTACACGCGGAAGTCCCACGTTAACCTGAACAAATGCATTGACTCTCCATTTTCCCTAGTTAGATTATAAGAGATCTCCTTAAATCGCTTTTGGTAGAAGGTAAATAAGAAAAATGAAGGTAATTTAATTGTAACATGCTCCGCATGGAACACCATCCTCCTGGTACTTAACCAAGATTTCTCTATTTTGGTTCCAGCAGATTATTTTGCACCCTTCTTTAGAAATGCTTCTGCCTGAGGATGACCTTGCTTGCATCTGGCTAGATCCCAGGTTTGCTTGGGGACGCGTTGCCAAATTGACTCTTGGGACACTTCGATTCTGCAAGCCATTACAGGTTGATCCTAACCAGCTTCACTCTTTAATTTTCGGGAGGTCAGTATATCGAGGTAACAAATTTAGAAAACTAGTTCTCCATTAGGCTTCCCTGTTCCTTTCACAAACCTTACTCCTCCATTTTGTATATAGTTT